TCTGCTCTGTCCATAGGCAGGGCAAGTTCACATGGCAGAGAGGGGACACTCTGCACTCCTGTGCACTGTGTGGGAATTCTGTGACTGCATGACAGGGTGTGGAGTATAGTTGGGTCTTTGGGCAATCACTGTGTCTGGTATCAGAGGCTCAGGATTCCCTGAATGCCTGGGGTAGGTCATTGCAGAGGGTTCTATAATCACACTGAGGACTGCACAAATCATTTGTGCAGATCATGTGCCAGTGTGAGTGAGGGCTGTACCCACTGTGGGCTAACCCTGGGCATTGATCACCTTAGAAGAAAGGGTCATCCCCTTACTCCTGCTGAAAAAAGAAATCTATCATGCCCAACTTGGGTGTCACCCTGGATTCTTGCCCCACCCTCAAGCACTGAGCAGAACTCCCTGGACCCACCCAACACATGCCTCTAGGTATTTAATGAGGAGTAGAGACTCCACTAAGCTACAGAGGCTTAGTTCAAATATAAAACCACCAGTGGAGAAACCAACAATGTTCCCACAAATGTGTAAAAATAAATGCAGACATTCAGGAAACCAAAGACAAGGAATAAAACATGACTATTCTAAAGAAACATAAAAACACTTCAATATTCGAATATTGAAGTGAAGAGTCTGATGAAATACATGAAAAGCAACACAAAAGAATGGCCATATGATTGAAGAAAATTAATGAGGTAAAGAAATCCAAATATGAAATAGATGAAAAAATTTTCCCATTAGATAGAAATTTTGAAAGAAACCAAATGGAAATATTAGAAATGAATTCAATATGTCAAATAAATGCAAACCTTAAAGGCAAACCTATTGAGGCAGAAGAAAGAATACTGCAGCTAGAAAATAAATCTGGAAAAATCTCATTTGAAGAAACAGAGGAAAAGGAGGAGGAGGAAGAGTAAGAAATGGAGGAGGAAGAGGAAGAAATGGAGGAGGAGGAGAAGAGGGTGGAAGAGTAGGAAGAGGAGAAAGAAGGATAAATTAGAAAAATAAAAGCAGTGTTCAAAATTTATAGGATACTATCAAATGGCCCAACATATTAGCCTTTGAGTTCCTAAAGGTGAGGAAGGAGAGAATGAATTAGAATACCTATTCAGTGAAATAATGACATAAACTGTCCATATTTGAAGAAAGGGATATCCAAGTATAGAAAGCAGGAAGAACTCCTAATGGACATGACCAGAAAAGATCTTAACCATGACACTTTGTAGTCAGACTTTCCACAGTGAACCATAAAGAAAAGATCCTAAAATGTGCATGAGAGAAATACCAGATTACCTTCAGAGGATCTCCAATTAGACTCACAGCTGATTTCTCATCAGAAACCCTACAATCTAGGAGAGAATGGAGAGACACAGTACAAGTCTTAAAAAAAAAAAATCTATCAATCCAGAATATTATACCCTGAAAAGCCCTCATTTATGAATGAAGGTAAAGACCTTCCAGAACCATAGAAATTGAAAGAATTTGTCAGCACTCATCCAGTCTTACAAATGATACTTCAGGATGTGGCACACACAGAAACACAGAAAGATAATTATTGCTATGAAAGAATGTGAAGGTAGGAAATATCCCAGTAAAAGTACAAAGGAAATCTGAAATAAACAATAGTAATATTTATGGGAAAAAGTCAGGGGCAAGTCATTACTTATCAGTATTAACCTTGAATGTATATGGCTTAAATTCTCCAATTAAAAGATAAAGACAGGCTGAATGAATTAAAAAATTAGACATATTTAAATGCTACCTACAAGAAACACAATTCACCAACAAAGACCCATGAAGACTGAAAGTGAAAGGATGGAAAGTTATTCCATGCTAACAGTAAGGAAAAATGAGCAGGACTATTCATCCTAATATCAGACAAAATAGACTTTAACACAAAAACTATCAAAAAATACAAAGAATGTCATCATGTAATGATTAAGGGATCAATTTGACAGGAAAATGTGACTATAATAAGTTATTATATATTATTATTTTATTAAATTATTATATTTATTAAACTATATTATATATAATTTATTATAATCATGGCATTGTGTGGATATATGCGCATCAGTGCATGGAACTGTCTCTATGATAGACCGTGTGCCAGGGCATAAAACGAGTCCCAGCAAATTCAAAAAATTGAAACTTTTCTGAACACAATGAATGAAGCTGCAAATTAACATCCTAAGAATCTCTAGAAAATATTTGAACATATAGACATTGAACACCAAACTCAAGGATTAACAGTGAGTCATAGAAGAAATCAAAATGAGAATAAAAAAATTACTGGAAATAAAAGAAGGTGACAATGCAACCCATCAAAACTTATGAGATAGAGAGCAAAAGAATGTTAAGGAAGAAGTTTATAAAATTAGTGCATACATCAAAAATTGGAAAAGCATCAGTAAATGATTTATTAATGCACCTCAAGGACTTAGAAAAACAACAAACCAAACCCAAAAAATTAAAAGGAAGAAAGTAATAATTAAATTAGAGAAGAAATAATTAAAAGGAAGATTTTGAAAATAAGAAAAAACAAAATTGGTACAAAATATGAAATATCAGTGAAATGAAGAATTGTTTTTGGAAAAAATAAACAAAATTGATATACACTGAACCAACTAACCAAAGAAAAAGGGGGAGGGAGAGCAACCCAAATTAATAAAATCAGAGATGAAGTAGGAAATGTAACAATGAATAGCACAGAAATAAAATGAATTATCAGAAATCATTACAAATAGTTAGATGGCAACATATTTGAAAACTAAGAAGAAATGGATAGATTCTCGGACACATACAATGTAACAAAGTTGAACTCCTAAATACACCAATAACCAAGACAGAGATTCAATCAGTAAAATCCTTCCAACAAGAAATCCTGGGACCAGATGGATTCACTGCTGAATTCTACCAGATTTTTAATGAAGAACTAATGCCAATTCTTCCCAAACTACCCAAAATAAATCAAAGGGAAGGAAACCTCCCAAATCCTTCTGTGAGGTTAACATCACCTTAATTCCAAAACCAAAAAAAGACACAACAAATAAAGAATTATAGACAAATATCACTAATGAAGATAGCTGTAGGAATCCTCAACAAAATACTAATGAAATGCAACAACACATCAGAAAAATCAATCAACCAGACCACAGAGGATTTATCCATGGTCTGCAAGAATGGTTCAACATATGCAAATCAATAAGTGTTATAGATCACATTAACAAGTTGAAGAATAAAATCATATGATTATCTAAATAGATGCAGAGAAAGCATTTGAGGAAATGCAACTCCCTTTCATGAAAAAACTTTAAGCAAATTGGGTATAGAAGGAACATTCCTCAGCACAATCCAGACAATGTATGGCAAACCCACAGCCAGCATCTTAATGACTGGGGGAAAGTTACAAGCATTTCCACTAAGATCCAGAACCAGTCAAGGATGCCCACTTTCAGCAATTGCTATTCAATATAGTCCTAGAAGTTTTAGCCAGAACCATTAGGCAAGAAAAAAATATCAAACAATGCAGGGGACACAGATGTTGGCAATGATCGAAACTGCTCCAGCTCACAAAACAAGTTTGTTAGCTAGGATAGGCAGAGACTTCCAGACCCTGGACAGGCAGGGCCTGCACTATGCCCCTCATAAGCAGGAAGCGGTTACAGAAGAGATGATTCAACGCTCATCAACTTACCTTAGGATTAAGGGGTGGAGTCTCTGAGAGGGGAATGAAGTAGGCAGGCATACAGGTTAAAATCAATTAGGTTTGTGAGCTGGAAGACCATGCCTTCACCACACCCCTGTGTGACCTCACCTCCTACCTGATACATTCACCAGGCCCCTATGTGACCTCATGCCCTTACCTGGCCACACCTGGGTACCCACCAGCCAATCAGGTTAATTAACCACTCCCCTTTAGAAGTGGGTTAAAAGCCTGGGACACAGAGTGTCTGCCCTTCTCTTCTCTTTTCCTTGGCCCCTAGCCAGGAGGGGGCTGGCTGTAGCCCTGCGCCTCCAGGGTATGTGGCCTTCGGGCCACCCGCCCTAGGCTTCCTGGCCTACATGCTCTTCCATATGGCTGGTTCCTGGTGCTTGGTATGAACTTAGATTTACCCCTCTCTCTTAGATAAAGCTCTCTCTCTCCTATGATTTCTCTCATTGAATAAAAGCTTAAAATGTAAAAAACAAACAAAAAAAAATATCAAAGGGCACAGAATAGAAAGAAGGAAGTCAAACTATCCCTGTTTGCAGATGATATGATATGATCCTATATGAAAGTGACCCAGAAGACTCCACTATGAGACTATTGGAACTCAGAATTGACTTTGTTGAAGTTACAGAATATAAAATTAACACACAAAAATCAATATCTTTTGATACACAAACAATACCTTGAGAGAAATGATTTTTTTATTATTTTCTTTTATTTATTTACTTTTTTGACAGGCAGAGTGGACAGTGAGAGAGAGAGACAGAGAGAAAGGTCTTCCTTTGCCATTGGTTCACTCTCCAATGGCCGCTGCAGCCAGCGCACTGCGGCCGGCGCACTGCGCTGATCCGATGGCAGGAGCCAGGAGCCAGGTGTTTTTCCTGGTCTCCCATGGGGTGCAGGGCCCAAGCACCTGGGCCATCCTCCACTGCACTCCCTGGCCACAGCAGAGGGCTGGCCTGGAAGAGGGGCAACCGGGACAGAATCTGGCGCCCCGACCGGGACTAGAACCCGGTGTGCTGGCGCCGCAAGGCGGAGGATTAGCCTAGTGAGCCGCGGCGCTGGCCTGAGAGAAATAATTTAAGTCCAGTCCCATTTACAATAACTATGAAAACATTAAATTCCTTGGAATAAATTTACAGAAGAAGACACAAAAAATGGAAAAATCCTCCATGTTCATGGATTGGAATAATTAATATTATCAAAATATCCCTACTACGGAAAGCAATTCAATGTGATCCCAATTAAATACCAATGACATCCTTCTCACATATGGAAAAAATATACTAAAATTAATATGGAAGTACAATAGACCCTGAATAGCTAAAGCAATTTTAAGCATTAAAAGAAAGCTAGAGGCACCACAATATCAGATTTTAAGATATACTACAGGGTAGTTTTAATAATAATAAAAAAAAACCTGGTACTGGAACAAAAGTAGGTATGTAGAACAATGGAAGAGAATAGAATACCCAGAAATCAAGCCACACACCTACAACCAACTTTTCGTTGACAAAGGATCTAAACTGAATCCCTGAAGAAAGAACAATCTATTCATCAAATGAAGCTTATACACTGGATCCCTGCACACAGAATTAGGAAACAAAGACTCCATACACTTTATACAAAAATCAACTCAAAATGGTTCAAGGATCTAAATCTTTGACCTGATACTGTTAAATTTCCAGAGGATAAAATTGGGGAAACTCTGCAAGACATTGGCATAGACAAAGACTGTTCAGTAAACCTAAGAAGCACAGGCAATCAAAGCAAAAATAGACAAATGGGATTACATCAAGCTAAGAAGCTTCTGTACTGCAAAGGAAACACTGAGCAAAGTGAATCTTGGCAGAATGAAAATTGAAAATTGGCAGAATGGGAGAAAACATTTGCAAACTATGCAACAGATTAAGGGTTAATATGCAGAATCAATTAAGAGCTCAAAAAACTCAACAACAATGAAACAAATATTCCAATTAAGAAATGGACCAAGAGCATGAGCAGGAATTTTTCAAAAAAGAAAATTAAAATGGACAACAGACATATGAAAAAATGCTCATTATCATTAGCCATCAGAGAAATGCAAATCAAAACCACAATGAGGTTTCACCTCACCCCAGTTATAATGGCCCTTGTATAGAAATCAGAAAACATTGCCAGTGAGCTTGTGAAGCAAGAGGTTCCCAAAGTGGGGATGTAAAATATTATAGCTATTGTGGAAGATAGTATGCAAATTATTCATAAATCTGAAAATTGCTCTACCATATTTCCTAGCAATCCCACTCCTTGGAATTTACCCAATTAAATAAAATCAGCATAGGAAAGAGATATCTGTGCCCCCTTGTTTATAGCAGCTCAATTCACAGTAGCTAATATATGAATTAAACCCAGATGTCCAACAACCGAGGAATGAACAAAGAAAAAAATATATAGATAGATAAAAAAAATCTATAGGTAGTATGGAATATTACTCAACTGGGAAAAAGAATGAAATCCTGTTTTTTGCAACAAAATGGATTCATCTGGAAAATATTATACCTAGTGAAATGAATCAGTACCAAAAAGACAAATATCATGTTTTCTTGATCTGTGGTAACTAATCGAGTACCAAAAATATAATATATATTAATGAAATTGATATTTTGAGAATTGATTATTGTTTATATCTCTACTTTGTACTGTTATGGAACATTTTTTTCCTTTTTTGAATTCTTACTTAATGGAGGATTAATCTTAAGATTATGAAATAAACTAGAGGTATATCATTTTAAAGATTAAAAGCAAGAATAAGAAAGGAGTGTGGTAGTCTGGATGGGTGGGAAAGGGGGGTGGTAAGTATCACTATGCTTCACCTTATAGAAATAAAAAATGTTAAAAAAAAGAAACATGTTTCCAGGAAATACAAATACTTAATTTTGGATACATCAATTTTGAGATGTTTTGGGGACTGTGAAGTATAGTCTATTAGAAATATTCAGGAGAGTGATATGGGACAGCAAAATATACTTAGGAGGTATAACCACATACTTGGAAACATTCTTGAATCTATGCTGTACGTATGATTGGTCACAGATGTCACATATCACTAATGATAATTAGGTCAGACATAGAGAATCATGTAACATTAACATGGCAAAAGGAAGAAAAGAGATACACAAAGAGGCCATGAAGTTGTGGTGTTAACCTGACACAGCCTAGCCTGAGCTTCACCAGAACCTAATTTCAACCACCCATTTACTGTGAATACAGATGAGAGAAAATGCCATCAGCAAAATTCAGCCTTTAAAAAAATCTAATGAATAATCTCTGTTACTTCTCCAAACTGATTGTCATAGTTGGGTTGGTGAGTCAGAGATTGAACAGGAGAAATCCTATAAATTAATGACAGTAGAACATTTTTTGGTCCATCAAGCAAATACTTTGTAGTTCTTAAATGACATTTGTGAGGTACCTGTTAGCTTAAATACTGATAAGATATTCTAATAATAAATTATAACTCTTAATTTTTAGGTGTCTGAATCATTTTCCCCTGTGTTTTGTTTCAAAGACTGAGACACCTATTGATTAAATTCTATCTGATAATGATTGTGGGGAGCAACCGGACTAGACTGTTACTGGAATTAAGACTTATTCTATGCATCTGCTCTCCCACAATATGGCGCTGGGAGAGAAGTAAACAGCTTCCGCACAGCTGCCTCCAGTTCAACCAATTAACTGTAGGACTTGCTCCTGATTGGAGAGCAGCGTACTCGGCGTGTGGGCAGCCGAGTTGGGATTGGCGGAGGAGGACTATAAAGGAGGAGAGAGACGGCATGCACCAGGAACATCTATGGGGAACATCTAAGGGAACCCGTGCAGCCCCCGAGAAAGCCGGCCGGCGGTGTGCCGCTCCCCTGCAGAAGTGGGGAATGTGGCCAGGGGGAACTGCCCTTCCACGGAGGTGGAAGGGATAGTAGCCAACCCGGGAAGAACCAGCAGCAAACCCGGGGAGGGCCGAGCAGACGAAAGAACAGCGCAGGGTCCTGTGTTGCTCCTCCACGAAGAGGGGGAGCGACAAATGATATATAGGATTTTGTTTAAAGTAGTTGCTGTGAGATATGTGGCATATATCATGAAGCAAGATTGTTGTGAGGTGGTGGCTTTGAAAGATGGATGTTGGATACATGGGAATCAATTATACTTTCAGTAATTTTTGTATATGTTTACATTTGTTTATTGTGTTTCTTATATATGTAATGTATGCGTGTCATGCATGTTTAATATCTTTAAAGTTAAAATTAAACAAGAAGCAATAAAGAAACTTTTCTAAAGAAGTAAACACATAAATCGATATGTAAACCAATGGAAGAAAAGGTCTTAAGATGAGTAAGGTTGTATGAGTCAAGTAAAATACAGAAGACTGGAGTTCAGTGAGTTTGACTATGTTCAAACGATTGATGCTCTCTCTACTTTTACTATTGTTAACACAGTTCTCCCATTCACATAATCACATATTCCAGTCATAAACTTTGATTCCTAATCCTTCAGATCCTGCATTCAAGTCTTTTTCCCTCCAGGTTAAAATTATACAGGGCCTGACTTTTATTTCATGAATCTGGTACATTGCAGAATATTCTTTTTTAGGCATCACTTTTTCTTTGTTAAAATTGTCATCACTATCTTGCTTTTACTATTTAAAACCTTTCCACTTAATTGACTTTTGTTAAACCATTTTCCTATTCTCCAATGTGTGCAGCAGCTTTCCTGTGTACTAAACATAGCATTGATTATTTAACTGAAGGGATCCAAACCCCTTAATTTCTTACCCTTAATAATAATTGCACTGAAAAAGAGTTAAGCCTTCTACATCCATGTCTTTCCGTGACTTTTACTCATATTAAAATTTACATAACCTCAGATAAATGTGAATGAAATTAAAGGTTTTAATCAGCATTCAGTTTTTTAAAGATATATTGATTGATTGATTTGAAAGGTAAATTGACAGAGAGAAAGAGAAGGAAAGAAAAAAAGTCATCTTCCATCCACTGGTTCACTCCTTAAATGGCCACAATGGCCAAAGGTAAGCTAGACCAAAGCCAGGAGCCAGCCATCTGGGTCTCCCAGGTGTGTGTCAGGGACTCAGATGAGTCTTCACTTGCTAGACACAT